GTATTAAATTATATGAATACAATATATTTTATTTTATTTATTTATTTATTTTTAGAGATTTTATTTATTCGACAGAGAGAGACACAGCAAGAGAGGGAACACAGCAGGGGGAGTGGGAGAGGGAGAAGCAGGCTTCCCGCAGAGCAGGGAGCCCGATGTGGGACTCGATCCCAGGACCCCGGGTTCATGACCTGAGCCGAAGGCAGCCGCTTAACCAACTGAGCCACCCAGGCGCCCAAATACAATATATTTTAACCATTTTGCAATGTTTTGAAATGATTAAAAAAATGCTCTAATGAACATGTATTTTACCACTTTCCCAACAATGACTGGGGGGTGTTGGTTATGAGGCTTAAAAACATATCTCAGAGGGGCGCCTGGGCGGCTTAGTCAGTTAAGCCTCTGACTCTTGGTTTCTTCTCAGGTCATGATCTTGGGGTCATGAGATCAAGCCCCCATGTCTTGCTCTGTGCTCAGCGGGGAGCCTGCTCAAGATTTTCTCTTCCTCTGTCTCTCCCCTGTGTTCGCTTGCTCGTTCTCTCTAAAATAAATAAATCTTAAAAAAAAAAAAAAAAAAAAACATATCTCAGAGACCAAAGATCTAGATGGCTCTCCCAGGTGTGTTTTTTCAGGACATTTTCTCTTGTATGAAAGCAACTAAGAATGTAAGAGCAAGAACCAAATATTTGCATCAACATTCACATGATTTCTGCAGTGCCTTTTCCTCTAAAGCCCAGCCACCAGGGATCAAGGAGAGTGTAAGTTATGACCAGAAAGCAACAGGTGTTATGAGAGGGGTGCCCTGATGTCCAAACATTTTCAAGTTTACAATTAATGTAAAAGGACATAATTACATTAATTGCATTACACTGATGTATTACAATTAATTAATGTCTTATATCAATGTATGCATTTAGAGTTCACAGAGCTTCCTCATAGTTTTAATCTCATTAAAGAGATTTTATTTATTTATTGAGGGAGAGAGAGAGCACGCAAGTGGGGAAAGGGAGAGGGACAAACAGACTCCTCGCTCAGCGCACAACCCGTTCCGGGGCTCAGTCCCACGACACTGAGATCATGACCTGAGCTGAAATCAAGAGTCGGATGCTTAACCAACTGAGCCACCCAGGCACCCTTCTCATTTGAGAGTTTTTAAGAATGTAAAGGGGAATATTAGCTTCCTGTTATAGATGATGAAAACTGAAGCCCAAAGATTTTGATTGTTCAGTTGCAAGAGAGTAAAGCCCAGTAAAGCATATCATCTGCTGTGCTTCTATGAATTTTGACAAGCTTCATATTGGCTACAATCTGAAAAGAGGAAAAAAAAAGATGACATTTTAACTTTTTTATTTTTTATATTTACATTTATTTTTATTTTCTGTATGCTGTTCAATTCTTCCTAGTTAGAGAATGCTTAATGTTGAAACACTAAAAGTCATTGAATCCAATTTCCTACTTCAGCATTAGTGGGTCATGAAATCAACTTAGTGGATCAGAGTCAGCAAACTGAATAGAAAAGAATGGAACAGAATATATGAATGTACCGCCCTAGCAGGAATAAGTATTTTATTAAACATTTCTAACTCTACGTCACAGTCAAAAACTTGAAAACACTACTTAACCCCATGTTCTCAAACAACAGGGTGCATAAGAATCATTTAGACCTCAAGTCCAGGGGATTCTGATTCAGTAAACCTGGACTGGGAGTCAAGAACCTGCATTTTTAGAAGGCACTACAGGCAGTTTTGATGCAGATAGGAGGATGTGCTGCTGCAAAACAAAGCACTTTTACTGTACATGCACGTCTTCTCCAGAAAGTTCCCAAGACGGAGATCTCCTTTTGCTGCAGAACGCCACCTCGGTACAAACGTGCAGGGCTAGGTGGCATGTGCCCGCAGACTACAGCCATGTCCTCACGTCGGTCTGCAGATCCTTCCTGTACCTGCCGCCATTCTTAGATATTAATTTACTGGGCCAGCAACATGTCTGAGAAGGGTGACAACCATGGCTAGGATCTGGATCTCTTACATGGTTAAGTGGTATGTGTGATGTGAGCTGGTGTCAGTATGTGTCCTCAAGTGCTCTTTGACCTTGATTATTCTTAACACAACTGTGAATACTTTTACTAATTAACTACTGCAGTACGAGGCTACAGGCTCTGTGCTTGGCATTAGAGGGATTACAAAGATGTCTGCCCTGGAAGTCTTCTTAGTCAGCTACCACCACTACCCCATCCCAACACACAGAAAGCAAGAAAGTAGCTCAGCAAATGTTTTGTCTTTGCTTCTTGCAGAGGTGCCGCACGGTTTTCAGATGCCAGGAAGTGGCTAATATCTGAGATGATGGGATTGTATCCTCCAACTGTACCCCTTTCTTCCTTCTTTCACACAGCCAAGGGAAACACTATTCATGCACTTAAGGAAATATAACCTCTGCTGGTCCTATTATCAAGGCATCACAAAATAATGGTCATCCTAGAAACCATGTTCTCCAAAAGGTCTTGAGAAATACATAAAGGATTGTTCGGGTATGTGCTGCAGTGTTAGCAATTCGTCCACTTAGGAAGATTCACGTTTTACAAATATTTCTCCCAGTGAGGTGCTAAGTGAAAGCAGTCTTTGGGTTATGGAGAGGCTCAAAATTCCCTTAATCACAAATCACTTTAGGGTGGGCCACTGGGTAAGTCTTAACTGGTTCAAAGACAACTAACTTAATTTGATCATCTCAAAGTATGTTTGTAAAAGGGTTTAACATAGTTATTGTTGGGTAGTGGGACTGTGGATGATTTCAGTTTTTTCCTTGGTAACTTTGTGTTCTTTTTCTACAGTAAATATGGATTATTTTTACAATTGGGAAAAATACATTTTGTTTATTTTGTTTTTACCGATAATAAAAATCTCAGATCAAGTAGACTGACTTCTTCACCCATGCTTCAAAGAGGTTCTAGATGAAAGCCATAGTAAGTACTCATGCAGGTTTCTTTTTAATAGGATCCCATTCTCAGTGCCCAAAGATGTTACTGAGCAGCAAACAAAAAACCAGCAGCCTTTCAAGAATGGTCATTTACTGATTCAAAAATTGTAATACATCAACTTCACAATAAATCAATTCGTTCTAGAACTATAGACTACTCTAGGTGACCCCAAACACTTACATTAAAACCCAGAGGTCTCTGGCTAACATAACAATAACACCCTCCAAGAGAGCCCTCAAGAAGATGGTGATGGTTTTCCACTTTGAAGAGGATACATTTTCAGCATAAGATGGCTTTAGGAGGAGGGGATTCCAACAGACAAACATGTGCTTGCACTGTTTCCACAAAAGCAAAGCAGTTTTGCCAACTGTTAGAAACATGATAAAATCATAGTATATAAATTGTAAATAAAACATGTTCTGTCTGTTCCAGAACAGTATAAAAGCATGTTATTTTAATCCAAACAGAAAGGCTTAGCCATCTAAATCCAAATAATCTAAGGCCCCCACTTCCACCCTAATATTTTTAATTTGCCTAAACTTTTGGGATGCCCTCTTCTGTGGACATTTGAAGAGGAGTGTGCTCTGTGGAAGCCATTCCTGCATGACTATTTCTATGACTTTGGAAGAGTTTCCCATGTATCTAACTATTATATAAATAATAGGAAGTCAAAGATCTTGAATAAGATTAGATCAATCATGAAATCCTCTGGAGATGGCCAACAAAGACTTCCTCCACTCAAATGTTACCACTATCAATTTCTTAAAATCTCAGGTGCTGTGGAGACAAGCATTTAGGGGAGGGGGGAAAAAAACCCAAAGCAAAATATTTAAAATAATTATTATACCTGCTTATTTTGAATGTTTACCGATAGCAGGGTAGAAAAAGTCCATGCTGACATTTTGTTCACCAAAGCATTGTCATCACCAGAAATAGAAGAAACCTCAGAATCTGATCCAGAACTTGTAAGAGTATGGAAAATAGAACATCACAAGAGAGATCTGAAATGGTAACATTCTAAAGATTTGGGGGATGACATTTTTGTCCATACTAACAGGAGTTTTCACTGATTGTACTGAGCATCACTGGACTTGAAAATCTGTTGTTTTTTTCATTGTAACTTAACAGACATCATTGCTCCACAAGGCAACTCCCACGCAGGTAGCTGGACTGAGGGTAGTGTCTAGTTTCATTCAGGAGCCTATTCTAGGGCTCAGAGAATATCTGAATAGGGCTGTGGACAAGGCGTGTATGGCACAGACTGCATTACTTACCCCAAAACCAATTCAGCCTCTGTAACAGAACCCAAAATTTTAGCTGGGCACATGGTCAGGTAGCTAGGATGACTTTCCCACCCTCCCTTCCAGTTAGGCATGGCCATGTGACTAAGTTTCGGCCAACGAAATATAAGTGGAAGCATTGTTTGGGACTTCCAGAAAGTCTCCTTTAAAAGTGAGGGCGACAGAGATGCCCAAGGACACAGACCAGTAAGTGGGGAGCTGGACTCAAACTCCTCTGTGTGACTACTGCACGCTAAGGACAGGGTGAGATTGTGTGAACCATCCAGAGCAGAGTTTGGCAAGCTTAGGTCTGCAAGCTAAGAATAATTTTTACCTTTTTAAATGGTTGAAAAACAATCTAAAGACGGTTTGGGGGATTTCAGGGTCTATAAGTAAAGGTTCATTGGCACACAGCCACATTCATTCACTTACATGTTGTCTCTGGCTGCTTTTAAGCAGAGCTGAAGAGTTGTGACATGACCTACAAAGCCTAAACTATTGATTATCGGGCCCTTACAAGATAAGTTTATTTGTATTTTATTTATTTATTTTTTAAAAGATTTTATTTATTTATCTGAGAGAAAGAATGAGAGAACACGAGAGGAGAGAGGTTCAGAGGCAGAAGCAGACTCCCCGCTGAGCGGGGAGCCTGATGCGGGACTCGATCCAGGGACTCCAGGATCATGACCTGAGCCGAAGGCGGTCGCTTAACCAACTGAGCCACCCAGGTGCCCCCAAAATAAGTTTATTGATCCCCAACCTAGAGAAAGGGAGGAGGTACGGCTCCAAGAGGGTGTGTGGCTGGGTAGGGACAGTGCAACTCTGGTACCCATACTAGAAGTTCAAGTGGCCAGGAGATGAGGTGTCACACTGCCTAGTAAAATCAGTTGCTCATCAATATTTGTGCACTTGACAAAAGAAGATGCAAGTATGGCCAATAAGCACAGAAAAAAGATCCTCAGCACCAGTAGTCATCAAAGAAATGCAAATTAAAACCACGATGAGATACGACTACACACCCACTACAATGGCTATAATTAAAACGACTACATATTGGTGAGAATGTGGAGGAACAAGAGCTCTCAGATGTTGCTGGTGGAAATCTAAAATAACACAATCACTCTGGGAAAACAGTTTGGCAGTTTATTATAAATTTAAGGATCCACTTACCACAGGACCTAGCCGTTCCACTCCTTGGTATTTACGCACGACAAATGAAAACATTATGTCCAAACAAAAGCTAGCCCCAAATGAGAAACAATCCAAATGTCCATCAATAGGTGAATGGACAAGTTGTGGCATATCCACACAGTGGAATAATACTCAGCAATAAAAAGAGACAAACTACAGATATATAAACAACATGGATGAACCTCTAAAACATGCTGAATGAAAGAAGCCAGACCCAAAGAGAACACATTCTATACATGTCCCCCACTTTTTGAGTTTGTGTTACACTGCTTTGCTTTTAGGAAAGACCCGCAGGAGTACCTGTTTTCCCTAACCAAAAGAAATCCAGAGAGGATATTCACTTTGATGGAAATGTGTAAGGCAAAAATAGCATCCAGTGCTTGTTTTGCAGCAAGCCATTATAGGGGCAGCCCAAACCCCAAGTAGCAAGAGCAGCTCCACGAAGCTCCCTCCCCAGGAACTACACTCAGCATCTCAGCATCAAGCTGCCATAGCTCTGAACTGTGTCTGTGAGCATGTTCTTTATCCTGATTTATTTTGTGCATTCGTTAGCAAGATGCATCTCCTTTTGGGTCTGGGAACACTCAAACAATCTTCCATATAAATTAAGGGTAAATGCTACTTTGCTTTACACCATTTTGGCTTATGAAGGTTTCATAGGAATGCTTTCAGATAGTGGGGTTATCCATAACTCTAGGAAAGACAGGTTTATTTCACACTGATAGAGCCTCATCTCATGGGTGTTACTTCCAATGGCTGCTTGGGCCAGGGACTTGGGTGGGGGAGGATTTAGTGGGAAAGGACACACCGAGACCTTTGAGGGTAATGCTAATGTTCTGTATCTTGACTGTGGTGGTGGTTATACAGGTGTATGTATTTGTGTATTTTGTTGTATGAATATTAATAAGTTTGATTTTAAAAAAGGGTGCCCATGTCTTCAGGACCCATTAACAGGGTGAAGCACTGATGCTGAGTATCGCCTGAGTCCATGCAGCCATATGAAATCCACATGGAAGAGAAGAACAGAGATGAAAAGCTTACTTGTGGTCCCAAGGAAGTGGTCCCAAACAAAGTCCTCTTTGTAGGCTCCTTGCCATGGGGCATCTTTGAGCCAGGAAAGACCAAACTTTTGTCCTACATCAACGGTTGCAAAGCTCCTGGAAGTGAGGCCTTCAATACTTGGACTTCTGGATTTCTTTAAACTGAATAAAAATCTTGCATACCCTCTTATTCAGTTCCTCTGAAGGTGCCAATCAGCAAGTTGCCCACTTGGATTCTTCAACTGGCAAAAGAAACACATTTACCAGCACCAAAAATGAAGTCAGTTGGTTTGATCTAAGTCCCTGGGGGAAACCTGATCCATCAAGGTAACTGGACCTAATCAGTTGGAAGTTGAGGATGTGATTGCTGGCAATTAAGTCGGCTTTAGTCCCCGCTAAATCAAAGTGGTCATCCTTCCTCGTAAGAAACCTAGTTGCTCAGAGTTGAAAGAGTAACAGTCCAGCCAATCTGAGGCACAGGAACAAAGCTCAATAAAATCAGCATCTGCATTCTCCTTTGAGGTAAAACATGGATGATGGGGAGTTTGTGCTCTGGCCACCGAACTTATGTGGAGATGGAGGCAGAATGGTTTTGTCTGGGGAGGGCAGATGGCGGGACAGTTCTTAAGGAATAACAGAAAAGCTTCTCTGAGGCTCCTTCCACAGGAAACCTGAAGCAATACCCAGGAGACGAGGATCGTTGAGGGAGCCAAGGAGGGTTCAGGTAACAAAGCGATCTGTTTTTGCAAGCCTTACCAGAGCAGAGAAAGGGGAGGCCGCTTCATTTTGCCTCTCAATGGAGTCAGAATTTAAACAAATTTTTGTTTAATACCAGTTTCAAATAACAACCAAGATAAACCTCAGAGAAATCACAACATAGTATAAGGACTCTAGGGGGTGCCTGGGTGGCTCAGTCGGTTAAGCGTCTGCTTTCTGCTCAGGTCATGATCCCAGGGTCCTGAGATCGAGCCCCACCTCAGGCTCCCTGCTCAGTGGGGAGTCTGATTCTCCCTCTTCCTCTGCCCCTGCTCTCTCTCTCTCTCTCACACGCTAATAAATAAAAAAATCTTTAAAAAAAAAAGACTATAAGGACTCTAGTCCTAAGACAATGAGAAAGGTAAGGAAAACACCTTCAAAGAAAGGTACTTAGGAAAATGGGAACAATAGGGAAATTTATGTTTGATCTAGACTCTTTGAGCCAATTACGCAAGTCCAGGATAAAGGGTGGGATCCTTATCAGTGACCTGTGGTGGGTGGGAGGAAAGAAGAAAAGGGCCTTAATGTGAAGCCTCTCAGGAGACACAACTGCCAAAGAGAATGGAATTTATAAAGCTGTCAATTCAATCTATTCAGTCTAGAATTCTACCGGTGAGGGTTTCCGGTCCCAGGGCAAGTCCTCAGAAGTAGCCAACGACGAATGAAGAACGCGTTCATAGTCAAGAGAGGCTCTGGCGACCCCGGGCAGTATGCAATGGACAGCCAGGGCCGGAACCTGAGAAGCCGTGTCAGAGGCCATCTCAAAGGAGAGTGCGAAGCTTGTAAGAAGCCAGGTCAGTGTGCAGACCGCTGCGAACCGTGGGAACAGCCGTGGCAGAGCTCTGGGTGTGATGCCCGCGGCTGCTGCAGCAATCTTGCTCCAGCTTGACCCCGGCGTCATAATTACACACCTTCCCACACAACACAACACAAAAGGTGGCAGAAAGAGCTGGAAAGAGCCTGTGTCCTTGATGACATCACGGGCCGATGAGCAGAGGCTACCAACCCTGAAGCCTGCCCTGCAGTTGGACACAAAATAAAAATTACGCTAATTACACGAACGCACCCGGTGCTGTAATCTAGGACTGTCCTATTCCAATTAGTCTGAAGCAACTGCACATCTGACAAGCTCAGATGTATGGCCGTAGTTAAGTGTCCCTGTTATTCAACGCTTGCTGGTTGCCCTCAAGTGAGAAATGCAACAAACCTTCACCATCACAGAAAATGTGCCAGGGAAGATAAACACCCTCTCCATGCAATTTTACCACAGGTATTTATCTTTTAGGAATGTCTAAATTTGCATTTAAATTAAATGCATTAAATTACAGATAAGTACAATTACGGAAGGGGTGAGGGTAAAAGAACCACTTAAAATATTAACAAAAGAATGTTCCATTAGGCCATCCAAACAAGCTAAATAATCTCAAACTTGGTTCTGAAAATTAGTTTTACTCTTGGGGTGCCTGGGTGGCTCAGTTCGTTGAGTGTCCAACTCTTGATTTTGGCTCAGCTCTGGATCTCAGGGTGTTGAGATGGAGCCCAAGGTACTACCGTGCTCAGTGGGAAATCTGCTTCCTCCTCCGCCCTCTCCCTCATTCCCTCCCCCCCTCCCCCCGCACTCTCTCTCTCTTTCTCAAATAAATAAAATTAGTTTTATTCTTAAAACTGTAGAAATACTTTTCAATCTGGAGGCTGAATCTCGAAGGTCCACGACTCAATTTTCTCCAATTTGGGGCTTTAGTTGTTCATATTCAGTGTATATAATAAGCTTCAAGGAGGGCCTAACCTGTGTCCCAGTGTGGTCTTCCGTAACTTTTTGAAAGCATATATATATATATATTTTAACCTGTAATTCTTTTTTTTTAAAGATTTTATTTATTTGAGAGAGAGAAAGAGAGAGAGAGAGCACAAGAGGGACAAGGGTCAGAGGGAGAAGCAGACTCCCTGCTAAGCAGGGAGCCGGATGTGGGACTCGATCCCGGGACTCCAGGATCATGACCTGAGCCGAAGGCAGTCGCTTAACCAACTGAGCCACCCAGGTGCCCTTAACCAGTAATTCTTATTTAACTGACAAAAGGAATAATCAAAATTTAGTTTCTGCTTAACTATTAGCAAAATTTATATCCAATCTAATCCAGTATTCATACCCAAGATGAATTACCAAATACAATCAACTTCTTCCCTTTCGTTTCCATCCCCAGCACCCATCATCTCACACCTGGGTGATTGGTCTTCTCTCCTGCACTCTGCCCTACTCTCGTCCTTTCTTCAACCTCAGCCAAGGAGATCCTCTCAAAACTCAAATATGACCCCAAGCCTCACCTCCTCCTCACTCTCTCCCCTGTGCCACCCAACCTTTCTTCTGCCTCTTTCCTGAATGTTCTCTCCTATCAGAGATTCTTACACATTCAAGCCCTTTTATCTGGGGAACACTTTCCTTCCTTTTTCACCTAGATAACATTTAGTCAGTCTTCAGCCTGATCATCATTTTAAGACTTCCCTACCATAGTCAAATTCTCTTGTTATATAGACTCTCATATAACCTTATACTTCTTCCTACTACCTGTTAAATTTGCATTTTTATATTTCTGTGTGGTTATCTGGTTACTGGTGATCTGTTACACTAAACTATAAGCTTTATGAGCAGAGGTTTTATCTGTTTTTACTCATCATTACATGACCAGAGTTGAGCACAGCAGTGGATGCTTACTATATGCATTGGATGAAAAAAAAAAATGTTGGCAAACAGTTTATCTCATACACAATAGTCCCAAAAGAAACATGAATCTTACCATTTGTTTGTTTGTTTTTCCTGGTTGTTTCCAGTGATCAAAGGAACTCCAATATGGAATCTGTAACTAAAAGATTCTTCCTTTAAAAACATGTAATGAGAAGACAGAGGTGGATCTTCTCAGCACCCACATGTTTTGGAGGCTGGTGGGAGACAATGGATGGCATAAAAAGATAGTGCCCAGAATGCAAATGTCCTATTACTGTGACCACAAGATATCAACACCAGCACCATTTCCTTCTCTTGTCACTAGAAATAGCTTCATCAAGTGAGGAATTACTCAGCCTTCTGCTTGCCCCATTCTCTGAAGCTGACATCCTACACATCGCTTGAACCATAGTAGAAACTAGAATCCTATTCAATCTAATTTCAAAGTAATGATACCAACTCTATCACTTCGTTTTCTCCTTTTTAAGGATGAGTTAAGACTCTTTGCTGAATTTTATTCTTGTGACACCAATCAAGGCATCGAGGAGTGGGGGTTGGAGGGTAGGGAAACAGTAGCTTGTCCACAAATGTTAGGTTGGAGGAACCGGTTTAATCTTAACATCTTAGAGGAAGTATCCAATGGTTATAAAATCTTCTGGGAAAAACTGACTTCATTTTCATTTTCTGAGCCCCCCCCCCCGCCACTTTTTTTTTTATTTAATTAGGTTGTTTTGTTTTTTAATGTTTTTGTAAAAGCTTCTACTAAGGAAATTGGAAGTTCCAAGGCAAGGTCTCTTAATCTACAGTGATAAACAAGTATTTAGTGATCATGAAACGCTCGAAAACATTTGCTAAAAGTTGGTCTGCGCGTATGTTTGGGAGTGCATTTTTCTGGAGAAAGACTCGATTTTATGTCAAATTCCGTTGCCAGCGCCTGGTACAGTGCCTGGCATGTAACAGATGCTTAGTAAATATCTGAGTAAGAGAATGAGAAAATGAATGAATAGATACCCTTAATGACACTGAGAAAGAATGGCTGGAGAAGTTATCTGATACCAGGAAAACAATGGTGTCAGAAGCCAAGGAAGAGATTTCAAGGAGAGAGAGTGGTTCAACTGTCATTTGTTGAATAAAGGTCGTCAGATAAGGTCTGAAAAGTGCACAGTGGATTTAGAAATGCAGTGGTAGTTGGAGACCTTTAAAACTGATAGTTTCAGTTGGGGTAAAATATTGCAGTTGGTTGGAGAATGACTAGGAATACAAAGCAAGGAACAGTGTATAGAGACAACTCTTTCATAAACCATTTCTGTAAAGAAGTAAAAAACAGAATGGAAAATGAGGAGTTCCTAGGTTTTATTTTTTTAAGATAGAAAAGACCTGAAAATACCTAAATGCCAATGGGAAGGAGCCACAGATAGGTAAAGGAACAAAGGTACTAGGAAGTAGGACTGGGAAGGGATCCAGAGCCTTGCATCAGAAAAGGGTTACCTTTTCCACTGCGAAAGGAGGGAAGGACAAAGAATGGGTACCAATTAAGTAAGTTTGAAGGTTTGGTGGTACTAATTTGAGAAAGATTCCATCTTATGGTTTTTCTTTTCTCTGAGAAAATGAGAAGTAAAATAATCTCCTGAGTGAAGGGGTACAGGGGATGGTGGACACAACAGGGAAGGTCTTAGGTGAGCAGAAGTTTAAAATAGCTCCTGTGAAGAATGCGAGACGGGGGCGCCTGGGTGGCTCAGTCGTTAAGCGTCTGCCTTCGGCTCAGGTCATGATCCCAGGGTCCTGGGATCAAGCCCCACATCGGGCTCCCTGCTCTGTGGGGGGCCTGCTTCTCCCTCTCCCACTCCCCCTGCTTGTGTTCCCTCTCTCACTGTGTCTCCCTCTGTCAAATAATAAATAAAATATTAAAAAAAAAAAAAAAAAGAATGCGAGACAGGGAAGAATTGCCAGGCAAAGTCGTGAATATAAATTTGTTGTGCTACTGATGTCCTCCGATGTGTGGTTTTTCTCTAGAAAGTCTTTTAAGCAGAAAGGGGTTTCTAAGAAAATCCCTACTTCACTAGAGGTTACCTTCTCTCTTGAAATTGAGTAACTTAAATTCAGGTTCAGAATTGTGGTGAAGATAAAATTTCTGTATATAATACAGAAATTATGGTGCATTTAATATTAAAGGTAAGAAGTCACTGGTATTATTTTAAATACATAGAAAATAAAAGTTTGCCTTTTAAGTACCTAAGAATGGGAACAGGTAAGGTTTTTTTATACAGGGAACCAAAAATCACCGTCAAAACCAAAGCCCTAAAATAACTACTTACAGGGCCACCCAGGTAGGTCCAATTAACTCGAACAATCAGCTCTCAAGAGCTTTATCCTGTTACTTAAGGCGATAATGTCAGGGTCAACAAATCCATGACAAAAAGAGGGACCTCTAGGGGTGCCTGGGTGGTTCAGTCATTAAGCATCTGCCTTCTGCTCAGGTCATGATCCCGGGGTCCCGGGATCGGCCCGCATCGGGCTCCCTGCTCTGCGGGAAGCCTGCTTCTCCCTCTCCCACTCCCTCTGCCTGTGTTCCCTCTCTCGCTGTGTCTCTTCAAAAAAAAAAAAAAAAAAAAAAAAAGAGGGATGTCTAGAGAAAGAAATCCAGAAGAAAAACTGGTGAGAATGACTGTTCTAAAAACAGACGGACTCTCTGTCTACTCCGTTGCAGATAAAGCCAAGTTCAGTCTCTCCAGTTCAGTAGTTACCTGGTCATCAAGCAGAGGTGACATGTCATGTCCAGCCCCCAAACTGATGCATATTCTCTTTAGTTTTCCCCTCCCTCTAGCTAACAGACACCCAAAAGTAGCTGAGGGCATTAAATACCTAATCACTGTTACTTCCCTCTATGCTTCCTGGCTTGGCTTGAAACTTACCACGAGGGGTAGTTAAGGAACCAAGGGCTAATGTGAGTACTTTCAACACTCTCCATCTAGCCAAACCCACTCTGTCCCTAAAACAGCTCAGCAGTCCAAGCATGGAAGCACAGAAGACAGCTGCTTTGGAAGGTAGTCTAAAGTGGTCGGGAAGAGCACGGTTTCTAGGGGCAAACTGCTTGGGTTCATATTCTAGAGACCTACTTAGTAGACAGAAACTGTGTTTTAGTTTCTTCATCTGCAAAATGAAAATAATGCCTATCTCATAGGGCTATTATGAAGATTAAAGGAGACAATCCAGGTCAACTGAAGAAGGTCTGGAATACAATAAGCAAACAGTGTATGTTAGCTACTATTATCGTTTCTGACCTATGGTTGCATTTTCTTGAATAGGTTTAACAGAAGAACAAGATTGCAAGAGTCTTGTGCAGTGGTTGAAGTGATGGGAAGCGAAAAGAAACTGATAGGGGAGAGTAGCACAGTCAAGGGCCTGGAGTTCTTGAAGTATAGATGCACTGGAAGTCATTCAGTTAGGAAGCTGGGAAAATGGGCACAAAGTAGAAGAGTTTATTTTAAGCTTTTAAGGGTGAAGTTGACCTAAGTGATGACAAGGTCCAGGGAGTGGGTGACTTTATAGAAAAGGTAAAGGTCACTGAATTTGAGAAGTTGAAGCAATCAAGAGACCAGGGTATCGCCTGGGTTACCCACATGGAATTTTATGTAACCTGGCTTAAAGGTGGGACTTGGGGCAGGGAGAGAACCTGTGAGTCAGGTACCAAAGTCTTTGGAGAATGCAAGGAATAAATGAGAATGACACACATGGACAGAAAGCATCCGAAAGCAATGCACTCGGTGTAAGCATGTGTAACGATCAGAACTGAGAAGCAAGGAAGCTAACTGCTCCTCATGATGCCAACTGAGGCTAGTTGGTGGGAAAAGACCACAGAGCCAAGGATGCTAAGTATTTTATATCGCTTAGGAGTCCAGTACAGTGATAAACTGTCCTATCCTATGTTAATACTATCCCTGTTAAGAAACACAGCCACCAAATTATTTAGAGTGCTTTCTCAAAGGATCCTGACTCTCCAAGGTATCATCACAGTTCTATGAAGCCCCTCTCCCCCATTTAACATGCTCTCCAGACCTCAGGAAGGATCACCTGTGTCTCTCTCTACCCTGTACATACTTTCACCATAGTACAGGTCATCCTTCCTCGCACTTATGTTTAAATGTCACTCTCATACAGGTACTTCCAGGGTTGTGGCAAGGTGTAGATCTTTTCATGTCTCTCTCTCAACCATGTGGGCATGCATTAATAAATGTCATTTGTTAAACAACAGACTTCTCACAGTCACCAAATTAGAAGGCAGAGCATAAAAAGAATTTTCTGCCTATGAAAATGGGTCATCAAGACTTTAAGTTTTGACTATAAAGAATGATTTTCTGGGGTCCCTGGCTGGCTCAGTCAGTGGAGCATCTGACTCTTGATCTTGGGGTTGTGAGTTCTAGCCCCGCGATGAGTGGGAGATTACTTTAAAAAAATGATTTTCGAATAAGTATTAGAAAGGAGATGCAGTACTTCTTCACCAATTTGCAGCATAACATTTCTAAACACCCTCTATTAAAAGAAGTCATGGTTGAGACCTCAAAGGGAAAAAAATCAAAATTTGAAGAATAAGGTTGCTACGTGAACTTGCAAAATCCTTTACCTTCAATGTACCAAACTAAAAACAATAATGAATTAGCAACATTCCATTTGTATTCCTTTTCTAAAAACTTTTGAGGGATTTACTTGCCCTAGAGTTTAAATGTGATACTTATAAATAACCAGAGAAGGTTTTGAAATTTTGTTTCTGGTTTACTTTCAAGTGTCCCATGACTTTCTGATTTTATTATTTTGATTTATATTTATTTTATCCAAATGTCAGATTTTCCAAATCATATATATTTGACATAAATTCTTAAACAGGTGGAGTATACAAAACAAAATGAATGTATCCTAGGATTTTATCCAGATGAAGTCATATGAAATCATAGCTGGCAGGAGGTTAGGGAGGTTGGCAGCCCAGGAAGGGGGAGGGGGTTTACTGATATGTTTATAGGGAAACAAAAAGATGAAAAAAAAGACGTGAAAATAGTAGAAGTTTTAAAGAAAAAGTTTTTTGAGGTGGTACAAAGCACTACCATTAGGTACTTAAAAAAATTCTTTTTTTTTTTTGGACACGTTTTGATGAACATATTTGTCCCAAATTTAATGATAAATATCACTCCTCCTTCACTTCTCCAAAACTGTAGAGGAATAAGCCTTTAATCAATACACATAAACTTCTGTAAAAACCTCATAAATTGAATTATTTCATTTGAATTTATAATGTCTCGTGGGCCCTTGGCCTTATTCTCCTTTGAGTTTGGGGCTTCAGGAAAGGATACATTTACATAGCCGGTGCAAGGGAATAAGCACTAAGAGAAGTGAACACTTCTCCCTCTTCATTATTGCACAGGCTGTGACTTACAAAAGAATAAAAAACTGTGTTTTCTATGAAAAGGTGCCCTGAGAAAAGCAAACTGATAGTGGAAATTCAGAGTAGTGGTTAATGTTCATCCAGTAATAATATGCTGTAATGTGATACAGAGCTTTATTCTAGTGGCAGAAATTTTAGTAGCTATGTAAATTTTACTAGCTATGTATTTTAGTCTTTAAAAGGTGGGTATGTAGGCATATAGCTTTTCCAGAATTAAGTGAGGAAAACAATATCTATATTCATATTTAAGAATTAAAAGGATTTTGAACATTCTAGATCTATCCATCATGAATGTAAAATAACTGCCTGTCCCTTCATGTTTAGATAGACCATTGTGTTGTTCAGGGTATGATATTTTTTGTTGATTTTCCCCAAATCCTTTTTTGATGATAACTCACAGGTTGTTGGCTTTTCTGGCCACAGCAGAACACTTAGTTGATTATCACCAGAAAATAGTCTAGAACTCTGTATAATTACTGTGTCCCCTTCCTGGGTTCTAACTGAAAGTACAGACCTCATCAGACATACTATAAATATAGTTGGGATAATCTCTTTACTTACATTATCTTACACTTAGTCACCCCAAAACTTGAATACTTTTCTGCCCATTCAGAGTTCCAAAATATCTTTCAATTATAGTTTATTTTCATCATTGATAACTCAGTCATATTTAATATTATTTGTATATTTGGAAGGATGGTATGTTTAATCACCTCCAGAATACACATGAAAATTTAATAAAGATATCAAATAACATTTTCCAACTTTTGTTAGAATGAAAATCTCTACATAATTAATCAGTGTTTCCATACTTTTGCTAGTTTAAAAAAAAAGTTTGATGCCTTATTAAAAAGTCTATGCCAGCATTTCGATTTTTACTATACCTCTTCAAGGAACAAAATGTACCACACCCTTGATGACAATCAATAACAATGCACAGAAAAGATGTTTGGAAACAAAGACGACTGTTTTCTAACAGTACACTCCTGAACCCAAAAAATGTTAGCAAAATATTTTTGCACTGTTGATACTATTCTGTTTTATGTCAAATTCAAGTCAAACACAATTTTTTTAAGACGTTGTATTTGTAATGTAAAATGAAGATTTGCTGAATTAATTTAATAAATATTTACTGAGCATTTACTACATGCCAGGCATTGTTCTAGGTATTGAAGATTTAGCAATGAAAAAGACAGGAATGGTTCCAACTTTTCCACTACCAAGAAGCTTGTTTTATCTTGAATCATTCATATTAAAAAATACATAAACCAGCAATAAGTTAGATAGTCAAGTCATAGAATTGGGGTTGAAAGGAGCTCAGAGATCATTTATTATATGTTATCAATTCCAAGATGCACATTATTTTACAATTTGACACATCTTACAATGTGGTCAGACCAGGCTGCACTCAAGGGAGAGTCGTCATTCCTGTGCATGTGCATCAAAACTCATGGAACAGTGTCAGAGGCTTGGAAGAAAATAGGGGAGGCAATGGTGAAAGCACTCTTAAGGATTCTTGATGATTCAAGATTCAATAAAAATATAATAGTTGAAAGTGTTCATTTCTTGTAGGAGAGGAAAATGAAATTCAGAGAGATTAAATGACTTGCCCTAATTTACAAAGCAGGGTAGGTGGTAGTACCAGAGCCCAGCTCCTAACTTCTATTCTTATTCTTCTACCAAAGTCCTCAAATATATGGAAAGAAAGCCTCTAGAATATGGCTCTAGTTTTGGGACCATGGACAAGGAACTTAATCCCTCTTTGCCTCAGCTTCTCCATCTGTAAAAAAAAGGAGTTTAACAGACCGAACTCATGATACTGTATTAAGATAATGTATGTACAGGACTTAACACAGAGTTTGGCATATAGTTAGTGCTCTGTAAAACTTAACTATTTGAGATCAAATTTTACATTTGGGAAGAAATTTAAAGTGACCAATTATCCTACAAATATTGCTCACTATTATGAAGCCCACATCTAGTTATTTGACTAAAATGCTAGAAAATAAATAGACTGCTCAAATGTTTGAACTGATCAATACACTAAAAATTTCCACCTTAACAATGCTTTGTCCAGGTCCATATGGTACTGTGCCAAGAACCCAGTAGACCTACCTGCAAAAAACCATACAAAAAACTATGATTATCAAGTTACTAAGGACTCTACTGTGTACAAATGCATTTATAAATACAATCTGAAACAACATATAAACAAGAAAAAATATTCAAAATGTGTAAACAGTTCATTTATTTTTGTTTTCTATAAGATATGATTACAACCCTGTATATTAATACTTGTACAAGAACCACAAGTTTGGGAGGTTAAAATGTACCATAAGGAGACATGATTTGGTCAGAAGTGAGAGTATTAACTGTTCATGATTGATAGATTATATGTTGTAAAGCACTTTTTTTATCCATTATCAACTCAGTACCTTGCATATAGTATAACTGTAAAAATAAATCCCAGGTGCTTTCCAATGTCATTTTGTTTTCTGTTCAAACAATGGCATGTTTAGAGAAGGGGTAAATGTCTACATTTCTTTTTTAAGCATTTCTGGTCAGCTCTTCTAATTTTGAGAGTTTAAGTGAAAATTCAAATTATATTCAAAATATAAAACTATGTTTTATGGGGTCAACTTGCTTTACATATTAGTTTCTATATTTTTGTTATAACATTCTGTATGTATTTTTACATTATGAGTTCATTACATATTTCAGACAAATAAAAATGGTTTCAACTGAGGTTCTGAATGCAACCGATATACAGTTAAGCACTTAAAAGGTCGTTTTAACTACTAGGAAATGTTAACCAATCAACTCACATTTGTTCCTGTTTCACTTGAAGACAAAACCTATAGGCCACTGTGCAAAGAGAACTAACTGAAATGAATATATCTGTATTTAGAATTACTGTATTTGCAGAAGCCTCTCGCAATTAAAGTCTTATCCTGAGGTACAATTCTGGTGTCTTCGTGTTTCATCATGACAACTGCGCAGTAGCAAAGTGCAACAATTTTCTGAATATTTTAAATATTAGCATATTTTCTCATACCAGTTACTTTAAGAGTGCTTTTGTTAAAAAATCTCACAAGCACTAACATGTTATCCAAATTTAAACCTTAAAAGAAAACCAACCCCATACTCAACATGTATAGTTCCCCTATTAATTCTGAAACTTAAAACTAACATTAGTTTGCTTATGTTTGGGATTTTTAAAAAACCAATCGCACACTTCATTATACACATCCTGGATATTATTCGAGGATCAAAGTCTAATGCTGACTATGGTTGGGTCAGCAGAGAAGAGCCCTATGGCCAAATATGAGAGCCCCACGGCAAGGTGTATGTCAGCCAAAAACACAGGAACCAGACTCCAATGGGGCAGCAGCTTGACGCTGCCTGCATTTAGTGGGGCGCCCCAAACCTCTGCTACCCCAAATTTCCCACCGCGCCCCACCTCTCTCCGTCCTAGCCTCTGCCCCGCCCCTTCCTCCCCGGCCAGCGCCCGCATTGCCCACGCAATTCCAGGGCTAAGCAGGGTAACGGAAACCAAACCCGGCACACAAGGAAGGCCCAAGCAAGAAGTGAGGCCCCACCCTGCCAAAAGGAGCGACTCCTCTAGAAAAACTTGGCGGCAAACTAACAGGAAACGCGGAAGCGCAGTTCCTAGGACGGTTGGGGCACCCTGCCGCCCAGTAATCTCATCTTTTGTCCTTTGACAGGCCTCCTTGAAGCCCCAACTCTGAGCGATTTCCGGGCAGCTCTTGACTCGATCCCCCTTACGGTCTCTCACTGATGGCAGCCATGATAGTTGCATCCGGGTATTTCGAGGAGTCGCCGCCAGAGTCTCCCGGAAGTGACGCAAGCGCGGAGGGATTTGCGTTCGGCTGAGGTGAAAGGGCTCCGGAAGCGGGTGCGGTAGAGACGCTGGCGGTGTCGGGGAAGGGTTGGGAGTTTTATTTATTACCACCTTCTTGTAACAGATTTTGCGTGTCATGTATTGTACCCAACACCAGCATTACCATGCCATTTGAATCCTTTCTTCAAACAGGTCCAGGAGGAAGAAATGGTATCGTTTCCGTTACGGGGAAATTAAGGCCAGGAGAGGGCGAGTGATTTGTCTAAGATAATACAGCTCGTATTGGAGCTGCTCTAATCCCCTCAGTTTGTCTGTGGAGCCAGTGTTTTGCATTTCCTCTGTAATGCTTCCATTTAGAAAAACCCCAAAGCCCTGGTGCTTGCACCTGGCAGGCCACTTGTGCAAGGGCGTTCACCTTCCGCTCAGCACTGTTGCCCTTGGAGTAGTAGGGCTGAGCCGCAGCCCCCGTGGTCTTTGCGGCGGCCAGAGCCCCCTTCGCTAACCCGGTGTCTTGCGATTTCACTTGGTCTCCTGCCCCTTGACTCTGCACACGGAGGGGTCTTGCTGCCCTCAACCGCCGGTTAACTGAGGGGACTGGCACTGACTGTTGGGCGCTGGGAAGCATTTTAACTCCTGTCAAGCACTTGTAAAGTCAAGACTGTTGGGACAGCTCGAGGCCTGTCATCATTGGCAAATAGTCTCTGGCCATAATAAAGGCCTGACTACTTTATCTTGGACTTTCCACCAAATCAGTTGTTTGTCCTGGTTTCCATTCCCTTAGAGTGTAAGTGAGAACCAATACTTCGCTCTTATGTCAGCGTTAACTATAACCAGCCCTCAAATGATAAAGTGTGAATAGCCACTCAGTCATTTTTTTCTTCGGTTTTTTTTTTTGTTTGTTTGGTTTTTTTTGTTTTTCCACAGAGGCTATCAGGTGGGGAAATAGCCACACACCCCAGCACTTCCCCAGAATAGGACCTCTCAGACCCCTGGGTGTCAGAGGTCCCAGGGGCACCACATCCTCAGGGGAGGTCAGAGCCCAGTGCTAGACATCATGGGGGTGAAGTAATATTTTTGTAAAAACAAATTATGCATAGTAAAAAACAAATTAAGAATGATAGTATTTGAAGGGTGGCCATTTATTTTCTTCTGTCTTTATTTTCCACATCTGCTACAGTTCTTTTTAATATGGGGAAATAAATTGACCACAGTAAACCTTTCTTAATTCCCTGATACTAATAATGATGACAAAGGCATGTTGTCATATTTTGACAATTGACAGTCCTTGATACAAATTACAGAGAGGAATTCTTTTGCTTGGAAAAGCATTGGGTTTTTGTCAGGATATTATCAAAGTATAGTTTTGGTATTGATGTTTTCCACACACCTTTGTATAAAAATATACTACAGTCAGAAGTTTTTCTTCTAAAAAAAAAAGAGGAGTGGAGGATTTGGGACACTTGAAATTCTGGAGAACAAGTATAAAAAGCTACTTTTATTCTGCCTTCTTTGGGGTACACTTTTAAACAACTTCCCAGGTTCAGATAAAAGCAAAATAAAGGCTTCTCTATTCTATTTCTGTATTCTACTTCCACTATTGCTTTTTAGCAACATCTCAAGCAGTGGCACTACAAGAAATACAGTGGAAAGATAGAAGAGAAAAATGAGAAGGGATTGGGGAGGAATAAAATGTAAAGGAATAAAGGAAAATGCTGATACTGGGGTTGAGGTTGCTTTGAAATTCCAAGGTAGCATGTAACAACCCTTTCATCCAAGTCCTGGCCCAAGACCAGTTGCCCACTCAGATTTACATATACAGTGTTCTCACTCACACATTGAGCACCCACTATGATAATTCTTACCAAAATTTCAGCTTTATACTCATACAAATTAGACCTATATTTTAACAAAACCTAGAGTGGATTGAACAAGAACTGTAAAGTAAAATCCCATAGTTTTCCTGGTGTTCCCTCTTACCATATCATTCATTCATCCTGTGATTAGTAGCATAAGTGGATATCGAACTGGAAGTGTTGCCTGCTGCATTATGATACAACAACTATGAAACACCAAGTGAGGTCCTGACAAGATGCATGTTTTCAAAGGAAGTATCTTCATGTTAGTCTGGGCCCTCTACAAAGCAGTCGTTAAGATGACATTAAACATTCAAGAATTTTATTAGAGGAAACACTTGTGAGAGGGAATGGGGAGGGAGCCAGGGAAGGCTGGGAGAACCATCAGACTGATGGAAGTCAAATGCAGTGAAGGGGGTGGGGGGAGGTTGGTGGAAGTGTCCTAGACTGCGGTACAGTCTAAGGAAGATTTGGCAAAGGCTGCTGGGACTGCTCAAGCCAAAATTGCCATCAGAGGGTCCTCCTAGGAAGAAGCTTGCCTTATGATCTGTGTTGCACTCAGTCACTGGCTGGAGCAGCCCATGGAAATCTTGGTTCTTGGTGCAAATGTGGCAGAAGATTTCAGAGTGCCGCAGCATCTGGGGCCCTTAGGCAATTTTGCTCCCTATATTTGGTTACCACAGTCCAAAAACTGGCTTTTCAATTACTGGAACTTTTTGCCAGTTTCAAGGCTTAGAAGAAGATTAAAAGAGGTGATTTCATGAGGAGGATCTTTGGAGAGAGCCGTTATGCTTCCTCACGCCCCTTCAAGTCTACTGAATGGGACTTCAGTGGCACTGCTTTGGGAGATTGATATGTGTCCCATGGGTTTTGAGAAGTACAATAGTGTCTGACTCACATCTGAGAAATCCCAGGGTAGGGGAAATGGGCCAGTGAGAAGTTTGGGCAGAGGAGTAAAGGAGTGTTGCTATATTAGGATCAGCTGTGATTCCCATAGTTTGTCAGGGCAAGTCATGTTTGAGTGTTTCTTGTGCACCAAATTTGTACCATATGCGAGAAAAGCTGGCCTGGAGCTCTTTTGACTCTGGGCCAAGAGGAGTTCCCGGAAGGGAAATGGGACTCCAACCGAAAAAGTCTGTGTTGTGTGGATTATCAGAAAATCTGACCTGTAGAAGGAGCAGTAACTGGGGAAAGAGAATGTGTTGCCCATCTAGGACGACAAACTTGCTCACGTTTGCCTGGAACTCTCCCTGTTTTAGTACCAAAAGTCCTGAGTCTCAGGAATCCCTCAGTCCCAGGCAACTCAGGGTGGTTGGTCATTGGGCCTGTCACAGGAGTTGCAGTCAGAAGGCACTCCAGCAGGGAACCTCCAAAATCCACCAAGTCACCCATGAGAATAAGAGTCAAGTTGAAATATCAAGCAGGTTCAGAATATGTGAAGCCAGCTCATGACTATATCAGTATTATAGTGGATTTTATCAAGGGGGTAATTGGAAAATGATGCTGCAGCAGGACCTTCTTTTCCACACCATCCTTACAGAGTGGGTATAGTGTGTTCAGGCTGCCATAACAAAATATCACAGATGGGATGCTTAAATTACAAAACTTTATTTTCTCACAAGTCCAAGATCAAGGGTCTGGCCAATTCAGTTTCTGGTGAGAACTCTCTTCCTAGCTTGCAGATGGCCATCTTCTTGCTATATCCTCACATGACCTTTCCTCAGTGCCTGTGTGAGGAGAGAGGAGGGGGTCAGAGGTATTGCTGATGTTTTTTCTTATAAAGACACTAATTTTATAGGATCAGGGCCCCACCCTTATGACCTTATTTAACCTTAAATCTCCAAAGGCCTCATCTCCAAATATAGCAACATTTGGGGGTTAGGGCTTCAACATATGAATTTTAAGGGGATACAAACATTCAATACCTACCAGGGTAACTCTGGAACACAGAGATACTTTACTGGGGAGGGGATCATGAAGATATCTGTTTCATGCCTCACACCCTTATGGAGAAGATACACTATCCTGACTCTGAAGCCCTATATCTTTTTATGAACAGAAGTAAACATTATATTGTATTTAGAGATCATTTGTGGCACTTTTAGGGCTCTTCGTACATTATCTTAATCATGTCGAGGTAAAGTTGAACCCCACCAGAGGCCTGTGCTGGTGTTTTTTTGTTTGTTTGTTTTGTTTGGGTTGTTTTTTTGTTTTGTTTTGTTTTTCTGTCCTGTAGAGCAGAGGAGGTGACAAGCTCATGTTCACATTACTGGACTTATAGAGAAACCCACAATAGCTGTGCACATGGTGATCGGGACTTGGACAGAAGAGGGATTTAATAAACAGTGGAACCATTCTATATGGTGTTGCCTGTATTTATGACATTTTTTAAAAAGTTACAAAAGATTGGATAATCAGAGAATGTATTCTCCTGTATCTTCCTTACAGGTATGAACCCAAGTAGTTGCAAGACACTGGATCAAAAGGCCAGTAAAATCAGAATGAAGTGCTATAATCCATTCTTGGCGTTTAGGCTAAGAGCAAATGTAAGAATGAAATGCTGTTAAAAAACACACACACATAGAATTGGATGATAATGTCAATAGAATTGGGTATCGGATGTCCCTAGTATCTACTTGAATCCCTTTAGGAAGCAGAGTTGGTTTTTAATTCCTTGAGGGTTTAGTTATAGGAACTAAATTCATATTGGCGCCTGGGTGGCTCAGTTGTTAAGTGACTGCCTTCGGCTCAGGTCATGATCCTGGAGTCCGTGCATTGAATCCCACATCGGACTCCCTGCTCAGTGGGGAGTCTCCTCCTTCTGACCCTTCCCTCTTTCATGGTATCTCTCTCTCTCTCTCATTCTCTCTCTCTCTCAAATAAATGAGAGAGAGAGAGAGCGAGAGAGAGAGCACGAGTTGGGGGTAGTGGGGAAGGGGAGAGGCAGACTACCTGACGAGCAAGGAGCCCTATGTGGAACTCGATCCCAGGACACTGGGATCATAACCTGATCCGAAGGCAGATGCTTAACCGACTGAGCCATCCAGGCGCCCCAGTAGGAACTAAGTTTAGCTGTGAGCACAGAGTAACAAAAAGCACCAAAATAAAAGTTATTTATTATGCT